TTAGAGAAATGCAAATCAAAACTACAATGAGGTATCACCTCACACCAGTTAGAACTGGCATCATCAGAAAATCTACAAACAACAAACGCTGGAGAGTGTGCGGAGAAAAGGTAACCCTCTTGCACTGTTGGTGGGAATGTAAATTGATACAGCCGCTATGGAGAACAGTATGGAGGTTCCTTAAAAAACTAAAAATAGAATTACCATATGACTCAGCAATTCCACTACTGGGCATATACCCTGAGAAAACCATAATTCAAAATGACACTAGCACCCCAATGTTCACTGCAGCACTATTTACAATAGTCAGGACGTGGAAGCAACCTAAATGGCCATCGACAGACGAATGGATAAAGAAGATGTGGTACATATATACAATGGAATATTTCTCAGCCATGAAAAGGAACGAAATTGGGTCATTTGTAGAGACGTGGATGGATCTAGAGACTGTCATACAGAGTGAAATAAGTCAGGAAGAGAAAAACAAATATTGTATATTAATGCATATATGTGGAACCTAGAGAAATGGTACAAATGAACCGGTTTACAGGGTAGAAATTGAGACAAAGATGTAGAGAACAAATGTATGGACACCAAGGGAGAAAAGCGGTGGGCGGGGGGATGAGTTGGGAGATTGGGATTGACATATATACACTAATATGTATATAATGGATAACTAATAAGAACCTGCTGTATAAAAAAATAAATAAAATTAAATTAAAAAAAAAAAACAGATTGGAGCAGTGCAGCCACAACACCAAGGCTTGCTGGTAAGCAGTATAAGCCAGGCTACAGGCGTGCAACAGATTCACCATCAGATCCTCCAAAAGGAACCAACTCTGCTGACACCTTGATTTCAGAGTTCTGCCTCCTAAACTATGACAGGATACATTTCTGTTCTTTTAAGCCACCCAGTTTGTTGTACACTTTGTTACAACAGTCTCAGGAAACTAATACAGAGGCTTAACTAGTAGGAACTATGTGGCCTCATGGGAAATCCATCTTCCAGCTACAATTTGTTAAGATCAAAGACGTGCCACCAAATATATCTCTACTCATTTTGTTGGCCTTCTAGCATTTTTTACAGAGCCAGAGAATAATACCATAAAGGAACCTGTGTAGCTTAGAAATTTATACCATTAAAACAATATATAGTCGACCAGTGGCTTAAATTCATTGCTGACCCAGGGTGGAGCAGGCCAGGGAACCAAGAATTAAAACACTTCTGACTATTCAACCTAAAAATTAACAAACAACAAAAAGAGACACCTTCACAACATGAAAGGATCATCTAAAGATGGCTTCAAACTAAATAGAAAGGTAGGCTTCAAACAGGGTGTCAAGGTCTGTGGTACTATGGAGATGGCCAAGTCATTTATTTCCAGAGAAAGTAAAAGGCGCTTTTCTTTCTTCTTGAACCCTCCGTGGGGTAGACAACTGGTTAGGAAGTACTGACTATTAAGGAGAGGGATGAGAAATCCGAAGTTTAAATAAAAGACTACAGTCAGCTTAATAAGAAGAGTCCTTTCAAAGGATCAGAATATAAAATCAGTGACATCATATGAATGACATAAAACCAGTCTAATCCCAGGAAAAAAATCAGTACAACTGATACAACTACATCTAAGAACATGGAAACATTTCCCAGCCATCTTTTTGTACAGTCATTACCTCCCCCCACTAATAAAATGGTGTTCAATTAATTGAACTAAGATTTTTAAGATTAAAAGACATGGAACCTCTGCTTCCAGGTAATTCAGAGTAGCTGCCACAGAATTACACTCTGCCAAGAACAATAAGAAAACACCAGATAAACAGAAAATAATCTGCTTAAAGACATCAAAGAGCAGCCAAAGCAATGAAGACTAGAAGCACTAAGATTCCGAAGAGCAAAAAAAAGACCCTCAGAAGTAATAATAGTTGACTTGACTTCTGCAGCCACTGGGGAGATCTGTGACTCTGAGCCTGGGCAAGAAGCTGAATATCTGGGCTTTTCCCAGCCGAGAACCACTGTTGCAGAAACAGAGACACCGGCAGAGCTTTTGGTGGTCTTTCTAAGCTAGAGGGACACTGGACACTTGAGGGACTGCAAACACACAGCCAGTTTTCCCTTAGAACATTTGCTGAATCTTCAGGGAGCAGGAGGCTAAAAAGCTAAGCTAGATAATCTTGTGAAAAGCAGAGCCGTTCAGGGCTGTCTCACGGTGCCGAGGAAACCAAGATCCTAGTTTAAGACCTGCCAATGGGGTGGGGCAGAGAGTGCAGCAGGCCCTCCGTCCAGTACCCTGGATAGCCAAACCCCAGGAACAGGGGGACCAAACGAGAACTAGATTAAGATGACTGTCTCCCACCCTATGTGCCTGGGGAGGAAAGAATAAATCCTCTCTGGGGCAGAGTGACATCACCTGGGGCTTCTACAATTTTTAAAACACAGTGCCTACCATCTAATCAAAAATAACCAGACACGCTAAAAGATAGGGCTGTATGACTGAAAACCAAGGGGAAAAAAAAAAAAGCATACAATACAAATGGTTCACAATAATTCAGATATTAGAAATAACAGTCAAGAATTTTTAAATACTTATAATTAATGTGTTCCAAAAAAGAGGAAAAGATGGAGAAAATCAATTTTCCTAGAAGTTTGAGAATTTTACTGGAAGATTAGAATGTACTTAAAAAAAAAAAGGAAATCCTAACATTGAAGTTTAGAAAAAAATGTATACTTCATTTTGATTATGGAACACTTGACTCTGTAAAATTTTATACTATGCTTCTATATATACTATATTCTTTTAAGCTTTTGTTCTATATGTTTTCTTTTTATTACTTTTATCTTTAAAAGTAATTCACGCTCATTGTAACCAGTGAAGTAACAGACAACGGAGAAATTATTAATTTCCTCCAATCCGTCCACATTTTTACCAGCCTAAGGTAACTGGTGTGTGTATGTTGTCACATCCTTCTCTATGCTTATACAAATATATTATTCAAATATATACAACAGAAAACAGCTTGGTGTTTTCTTGGTGGTTCCTCAAAAGGTTAAACATAGAATTATCACATGACCAAGCAATCCCACACTCCTAGGTATACATCTAAAAGAATTGAAAATAGGTACTCAAATAGTTGCATACAAATGTGCACAACAGTACGATTCACAATAGCCAAAATGCAGAAACAACCCAAACATCCGTCAACTAATGAAAAGACAAATTCTAGTCTAACCATACAATGGGATATTTTTCAGCCACAAAAAGGAATGAAATACTGATACATGCTACAACACAGATGGACCTTGAAAACCGGATGCCAAGTGAAAGCAGTCAGACACATATTGTACAATTCCATGTGATTCCTTTAATACAAAGAATCCAGAATACGTAAATCTATAGAGACACAAGACAGACTGGTGGTAGTCGGAAGCTGGGGAGAGGGGAGAATGAAAACTGTTTTTTCTTTGGGGTGAGCAAAGTGTTTTGGCACTTGATTTAGGTGGTGGTTGCACAACACTGTGAATGTACTAAATGCCGCTGAACTGTTCATTTAAAATGGTTACGTTTATTCACGTTATGTGATTTTCACTTCAATAAAGTTAAACACACACACAACAGAGATTCTACTGTTGCTGTTGCTCTTTTTTCCCTCCAATTTTTTTTTTTTACCTATAAAGCCAACTCATTTTTTTAACAACTGCTAATAATATAGAGTACAAATGTCCTATTATTCATCTAACCATTTTTCTATTAATGGGCAATTTATTTCCAGCTTTTTGCCAGTATAAGGCTGTAACAGCATCCTCATACATGTATGTGTTTGCATTACTACAGGACAGACTTCCAGAAAAAGGGCCTACGTATTTAGATATTTCAGATTATTTTCTGGAAAGACTGTAGCAATTCACACTCTTAGCAGCTTGTGTGCATTTCACCCTTTAATTTTTGCAGATCTGAATGGGTAAGAAATTGGTTTAATTTATTGTTACTTTAATGTACATTTCCCTAGCAGCAATTGTTCATCTTGTCCTACTGGCCACTTGAATCTCCTCTTCCAAATGAATTCCCTATTCCTAACCTTTGTCCATTTTTCTATTTGGTTATCCTTCTGTTATCAATTCATAAGGAGTCTTTCAATATTAGCAGTTTTAATCATTTAACTGCCATATATAATGTAAATTGTTTCCCTGAGTCGTTCATTTGTCTTTTGCTTATTTATGTTGGTCATGTTCTTCTTAGATTTGAATTAACAGCCTTTTGGATCTTTGTCTCATGCTTCATCTCACTGAGAAAAAAAGAGGACAATAAAGTGATGGAAGAGAATAAAAGCACAAAGGTCCAGCTACTGTCTTTGGAAAAAAAAAGTGATTCTTCTTTCGGCACCTTTTTTTTTTTTTTAAACAACTGAGTTCTGTTTTGTTTTGTTTTTTGGTATATCTATTTATTTATTTTTATTTATTTATATTTGGCTGCGTCGGGTCTTAGTTGCGGTGCGTGGGCCCTTCGCTGAGTCGCACACTCTCTATAGTTGTGGCGTGTGGGTTTTCTCTCTCTAGTTGTGGCACGCGGGCTCCAGAGTGCGTGGGCTCTGCAGTTTGCGGCACGTAGGCTCTCTAGTTGAGGCGCCTGGGCTTAGCTGCTCCGCGGCATGTGGGATCTTAGTTCTCCGACCAGGGATCGAACCCACATCCCCTGTACTGGAAGGCGGATTCTTTACTACTGAACCACCAGGGAAGTCCCCCGGGCACCTGCTTTTAAAACTTCACTTAGGGCTTCCCTGGTGGTGCAGTGGTTGAGAGTCCGCCTGCCGATGCAGGGGACACGGGTTCGTGCCCCGGTTCGGGAAGATCCTACGTGCTGTGGAGCGGCTGGGCCCGTGGGCCGTGGCTGCTGAGCCTGTGCGTCCGGAGCCTGTGTGTCCGGAGCCTGTGTGTCTGGAGGCCACAGCAGTGAGAGGCCCGCGTACCACAAAAAAAAAAAAAAAAAAAACTTCACTTAATGACTCACCTGCATTACTGAAGTGTCTCTTGTTGGGGTGACTATAGTTATCTCTTGGGTGTCCATGCATCTGTGGGCCATGAGAGGCAGGCAAATGAGGCTTCTGAGGGTGAGGGTTGTGCGGGGTGTGGGACTGAGACATCAGGGAATCCCGGCTTGAACCCGAGGCCTCTGGTCGAAATGGTTTTTTACCACCAATCGCATCATCTTTCTTCTTCTGCTCCTGTAGAGTAAAAGGAAACCAAAGACCTTCAGGATCCCAGGTGGAATTCCCAAGAACAGTATAAAGATCATCCCCTTTAAATACTTCCCTCTTGACTTTTGACAAGTCCCTCTCGGCTTCCCTGCTGTTTACTACCTTCTTAGGAAAAATATGCTCATAAATTCCACTGAGCTCTCAGGGCAGGGAAAGCCTCACAGAGCTCCATCTGCTGCTCAACCTGCTAGGCCACTACAAAGAAGCCAATCTCCAGTGACCTGCAGCTGCCAGAAAAAGGGCCCAGGCCGCTGGATGTCACTGCACGGGGCGAGGAACAGGGGTCAGGCTGTCAGCACTCTTGGAAATTGCTCTCAGGCCATGTAAAACTGGGACCACCAACTTCTTCAGGCTAACTCGAACAAACAACCCCTGACTGGCCCAGTGGGAACTAGTTCCCATGCCAAAGTCATCAAGCTAAACATCTGAATGTTTAAGTAACACCATACCTTTACCACACAAGTGAAATATTTGACATAAAAACATCAGAAAATATAATAAGGAAAAAATAAGAACTGTGAAGTGACCTAAAATTTTACCACCAAGGGAATTACTGTTAATAATTTGGTCTATGTCTTTCTGAGCCATTTTGCGTGTTTATACATAATACAGTAGACCCCCCTAATCCATGGGAGATACACTTCAAGACCCCCAGTGGACGCCTGAAACTGCAGATAGTACTGAACCCTATATGTACTATGCTTTTTCCAATACATACATGCCTATGAGAGTTTAATTTATGAATCAGGCACAGTAAGAGAATATCCGAATTGCCAGCATCACTACTCTTGTGTTTTGGGGCTACTATTTAGTAAAATAAGGATTACCTGAACTCAAGCACTGCAATACCACAACAGTCGATCTGACAGCCAAGAGAGCTACCGAGTTACTAATGGGCAGGTAGCATATAGTGTGGATATGCTGGACAAAGGGATGATTCACGTCCCACGTGGGAGAGGGCAGGACGGCACGAGATTTCATCACGCTACTCAGACCAGTGCGCAATTTAAAATTTATGAATTGCTTATTTCTGGAATTTTCCATTTAATATTTTCAGACCATGACTGACTGCAGGTAACTGAAACTGTGGAAAGCAAACCACAGTGGGGGGAACTGCTGTGTGTGTGCGCATGCGTGCGTGCGTGTGTGCGTATTTTTTTAAACAAAAATATTATTTGATATTCTTTTTTTACTTAATGTATTGTAAAAATCTTATGTGAATACTTACTTCCACAATATTATATTTATGGTTGAAAATTCCCTGATATGGATATATCGAGTCATTTCCATATAATCATGTTTAAACCCTTAATTATCTCCTTCGACTAAATTCTTAGAAGGAGAATTACATGTTTTAGTCTTTTGGTAAATCTTACTGAACTGTCCTCCAGAAAGGTTGTGAATGTATACTATAACCCCAACTAGTGGGACCACTACTTTGATTATTCACCTTATCCTAACTTCTGATACCTAGACTAATGAAGCCCTTTACCCTTTACATCATTTGCCCAACTTCACTCATCCTAACTTTCACTCTTTCCTAGAGGGCCTTTCCCCAACCATTTCATTCCCTCCTGGGGCTTTTCCTGACTATTCTTTCAGAGACTTTTTACAATGTTTAAAATTCACAGTAACATTCAGCAGTATTACTATATTATTCCTGTATATTACTGTTCTACCATATTCTTCCATGTAAAATTAAATTATAAACCACTTGAGGGTGCTCCTCCACAGCTCAGCACAGTGCTGGGCACAGGATATGCTCATGCAACAAATACTTCTGAGCACCTGCCCTGCGCCTGGCACCATTCCAGGTGCTGAGGATACAGGAGGGGATGAGAGACATAAGACCTCAGCCTTGACATGGTAGTGAAGGAGGTATTAAATGTTCCTAGACTGGCGCTACATGGCTAATTGGGGTAGGGCCCACGTGACAAGTCACCAGATCTGCAAATGGACATGCCTGAACAAGGAACGCTGCCCCTGCAGCATTGGCCAAATCACTTCATGCCCATGCCCCTCCACCAAAGAATGGGAGGCAGCTTCTGGGCACCTTCTCGTGTTTGCTCCTTTACATGAGCGGTTGGGACCCTACGTACAAAAGCTGGAAGGACACCAAGTACATGTGGCCCAGAAAAGAACAGAAAAATTATGTGCTGCCCATAACTGTTATCTTTCAGGAGCCACATTTATAAGCTACCATAAGACATGTGCATATGGAAGAAAAGCCCTGGTGAATAAATGATTCCAGGATGTAAGAACACAGAGGAACAACTCCTTGTCAGAATTTCCACACTGTCTGGTTCCAATACATTGGCTATTTTACCCATCGGGTCTTAAGTGTTAGTTTGACTACTCGTGGAACATGTGGAGAAACTGCACAGCTAACACAGTGAAAGAGCCCACCATCCAAGACAGGCTGGGCTGTGGTGGGCTCCTGCACCCCCTCTTGGACCTAGACCTCCATCTGCAAAGTAAGGGCAGAGAACCCATGCCCTTTCTAGCACCAACAACCTATGAGTCTATGATCATCTCCTCAGGAAAAAAACAGTAATTAAGGAATTTTTCTGTGTAAATGGTTTTTATCTGTTTGTATGAATTAGGATGAAGTTTGTATTTTACCTCTTCTTCTTGAGACCTTTTCTTGTGAGCCATCTTGTATAACTTATGCAATTTTCGAGCATCAAATTCTGTAAACTTGGAAACAAAAATCCATAGGTTCCTTAAAAAAAAAAAATTTGTTTTGGTGAATTACAGGATTTTAAAAATAACTATGCTCTTTATAGATGGCAAGTTATTGAATTTTGCTGTGGAATACTCTCCAAGTATAGAAAATAAGTTACAGAAATAATCTTTCAGGTCTTGGCAACAGTAATAAACACACCTTTAAATGCTACTGTCAATAGAATTTGACCTAGGGGTCTGGAGACGAGGGTCTGTCTCACAGCTAAAACCCCTCTAATTTATTTCACTGGCACCTAGGACTCCGGACCTAATGTCTTCCTCCACCTTCTGCACTCCCTGGACTCTGCCGGGCAATGTCATCACCGCCATATCCCAGGTGGGGATCTATGTACAGTTGGGCACCTCTGCCTTGCTGCCCCTTCTTTCCTCCCGGTCGTCACCACCAAGGCCTGTCATTTCTACCTTAAAACTTCAAGGGATTCTTCTCCTCCAATTCCATTGCACTCACTCTAGCATGCCATTACTGTCAACAGGGGAGTGACTGGTAAAACGGGTGTGTAGGACAAGGAGTCACAGGTAACCTCCGTGAGCTGGAACGGAAGGCTCACATCCTCCCACACTTCCTGGAGAGCAGTCACATCACACCGTGCCATGCCACTCAGAGGATGCTGCCCTGGCTCCGGACAAGTAAACCTGCTGCACAGTGTGGAAAACCATTGCCTGCCTTTCTAAAGCCTTCTGTAATAGGGCTTCAGTCATCTTAACGAACTGCCTTTAAACCCTAAGACCCTCCCAGGCCCTTCACTGTCCCACTTTCAAGGCTTTGCTGAAGCCTGAGACCTCTCCTCACCTAAGCAGGTCCACTCTGCTCTTCCATGCCGGCTCGAGTGTACCTGCCCAGCCCTCAGAAGACCTCCCTCCCTCACTACTCCTCTGCATGTGCTTATTCCTTCTTGGAATTCCTACTATACTTGATCTTCCAATCACCACTTCATCGTGGACAGTTCCTCACAAGTGGGCAAGGAACTGCTTATGAACCACACAGCAGTCCAGGACCACAGTATCCAGCCCCGCTTCGTGGATCTATACGTTAGGATGCATTTTCGTTACAGAAAGCCAGATGGCTAGATACAGGGATCTGGTTTGGGAACAGTGTAAAAGGAAAGTCAAGCCACATTTCAAAACTTAGATCTTCTTTTTTTAACGGGTGTGAAGCATGCTATGGATAGCATCATGACAGAAGGTTTTCTTAAATCTCTTTTTCACTCAAAAGCCAATCCACTGATATTAGGTATATTATACAAAGATACTTCATTAACCATGAATTATCAGTATATGAGTTCAACGTACCTGTGGAGTATGGAAAGAGACTTAATGTTACAATTGTCTTTGAATATATGTAAGTCATAATGCTTTACAAACTGAAGTTCTGGATTAACTGCCTTAATCCAAATTACTACTAGAGCTCTTCAATTATTAAAGAGAAGAGAACTCATAGCTCTGGTGGTTTTAGCCTTTGCTTCCTCTCATGAGGTTAGCAGAGAACTAACCAATTAGTTATTATATTATCTCTGAATATTAACCTGAGATGGGTAAAGTAGTGAAATTATAGATGGTTTCTATCCCTTCCAGGTCTAAAGACTGAGTCTTTATTCTGAGCACAGGCCAGCAAATCCAGTATCACGGTATTTCTCTCATAAAATAATGACATCATCCTACCCATTCAAAAGATTGGTCTCAGAGGAATGGCCTATTTCAGCAAAAGAAAACTGAAGCCTGCAGGTATGCTGCTAATAGACTGCTTTTGCTGGGAAAAAAAAAACTTCATTAGGTGGCTGTGTCATGTTGCATAAAACAAAACAGAGCCCCTAACACACACTTTGTCATCAAATCAAACCAGGCAATTCGAGGCTGTGGCTGCTTACCTCCTCCACAGTTTGATGTGCTCCTGGTCTGAGTAAGCTTTAAGGCACTCGGCTATCCGGTCCCCGATTTTCAACAGGCAGTTCCGGGTGTGCTCCAGCTGTTCCTGTACACTGAGCCCCTTGTCGGGTTTATCCAACTGTTTCAGTGCCTTTTTCACAGGCCTCATCCTCTCCTTACACTGGAACAGACCAAGAGTAGAGACATAAAACATCTGCAGCAAAGACAGCTTCAGCTGTGCTTACTGGGCCCTAAATTCCCAGAGAACACACAGCGCCCCCCAGGCCACATAATCACTAGAGGAGAAGCAGGTAATGGCAGGGGAACAAGTATAAATGTTAGAGTCGGAAAAACCTGAGGTTCAAGTCCCAGCTCCATCGCTCAGAGCGATGACTTTTACAGCTTACTTGGCCTCTCAAAACGCTGCTCTGTTTCCTCATCTGCAAGAGGGGCATGATAATCTCCCAAGGCCATTATGAAGATAAATGAGAAGCAAAATTATAGACCCAACCTGAAAACCTCCCATCACAAACTATCTAAAACTACAGGATAAAATATTTACAAGTCCTTTAGACTTGTAAGAAACTGAGGGAAAGGTTTCCAGACAAAGATAGTAGACTGAACATAAGAATCTTTTTCTCCCCCTCCCCATCCACTAAAACAACAGTAAAGAAATCGCCATAAGAAGAGATAAGCCCACAAAGACATGGAAAATGAGAGGAAGCAACAGCAACAAAATATTGGCAGCAAGCGAAATGACTCAATAGACCTGAGACAATGAAATCCTAACCCAGCAGTGGAAAGAGCTGAGAACCAACCTGATTTATACTGCAATTCCTGCAGAGGCTAGCTAGTATCTCTGGAAGTAGGGATGAGGGCTAAAAATAAGGATTTTGTTTTGTTTTGTTTTGTTTTTTTAAGACTGCCTAAGAGGAACAGATTTATAATAGACGCCCAGACTTCCAACTCTGCCCGACAAAAGATATGGAGGTTTATTCTTTGGAGAGGATAAAAGAAAAGTCTCTGAACTGGGCTACACAGGCATAGTTGAGAGGCAAGGCTACTACACTGAGAATAGCACTGTATGAATATATACATATTAGATAAGCCACCGCCCAGTCTTTTTATTTATTTATTTTTTGCCTCTCAGATTCTAGAACGAACAAAGCCAGGCCTTAACCCTCCAGTCAGGAGACTGGAGGATTCTCGTCCCCAAAATCCGGCCACCCAAGAGGAAGAACCAAATGATGCTGACTCCCCACTGGAAGTTTTCCAAGGAAGCAGCCCAGCCAGATCACCCTACAGAGAACACTCTCAAAGTCGATCAAGCCCAACCCACATGTTCAGAGCTTCCAATCAGATGTTTAGTCCCTACTCTTAGATACGAGCAGACAACCAAGGATTACCAAGCCATTTGAAAAATATCTAACATGAGCAACGGAAAACAAATCTAAGAGAAATATAAAAACATTCAGAGAACCATATGGGGAAAAAAGATCTTGGAAATTACACATGACAAGAGAAATGAAAACCTCAAAAGAAATAATGGCAGATAAAGCTGAGGAGATCTCCAAGAAAGTAGAGTTAGAAAAGAAGAAATGCAAGAAAGTTTAAGATAATATTAGGGACCACCCCCAAAGTTCAACATCCAAAAAGTAGGATAAAATTAAGAACTGAGGAGGAAATTATCACAAAATAATTTAAGAAACTTTCTCTGACCTGTAGGGCATGGTTGTCAGCCACTAAGTATCTAAAATAAGGAACTATTAAGGCACATGTCCATGTAACTTCAGAAGAGTGAAAATCTGACAAACTTCCATCACTTTGTGATAATTTCCATATCTATATGCTTACGATTTATTTTTCAGTATTGTACTTAAATTTTTTAAAAGTACACAAAATAAACTGGAAGATACATGACTGTAACAGATAAAAGATTAGTATTGCGAATGGATACAGGATTCCTATAGAAAAGGTAAGAAGAGAAAAATTACCTGGAACAGGCAAAGAATGTGAAAAGGCAATTCACCAGAAACATGAATGCCCAATAAATATGAAAGTAAATGTTCAACAGCACCACTGGTCAATAGATCATACCTCTTAGATTGGCAAAAATTAAGAAGGTAGAAATTACCAAGTGTTTCCAAGACTGGGAAGCAGTTGGAACTCACATTCGTTGCTGGAAAGAGTGCAAATCTCTACAATCACTTTGAAGACTAATTCCACAACATCTAAAAGCAGGAGATGTGCAGACCCAAAGAAACACCCAGCATTTCTGCTCAAGCTACACATGAGCGAAGCTCTTACACATGTGTATAAGAAAATATTTACAATTTCACTGCAGCCAATTTGTAGTAGTAAACATTTGGAAAACCCCAATGTCCATCAATAGGAGAAAGAATGAATCGTGGAAGTCATAAAACAGAATAATATGAAACACTGAAATCAGAGACATAACTATCAACATGGATAAATCTCAAAAGTGTACATGCTGAGGGAGGAAACTCAAGTTACAGGATACACACAGTGTGGCATTTACTGATAGGTTCAAATTTTTGCTCTACATCTTGGACAAGTTACTTAACTCTCCTCACCTTATTTTTTAAGGGGTAAAATAGAGATAATTACCTACCTCATAGGTTGTTGTGGAGAAAAAACACAAAAAGCACACTAATAATGCCTGGCTGTTTATATGAGCTATTACTTACTGTCTTTAGAGACATTAAGTAGTAAAACTCTAGAACCACGCATGAGAATTACGATTTGATCTACAATGAAATTAGAATTGTGGTCACTTCTAGGGAGGTAACAAACCATGACCAGAAGCTTCAACTTTATAGCCTGAGCCTTAAAAAATTCAGACCTGACAAAACTTGATGGTACCTCTATCAATGCCTATTACATTCCTGAAATTTTTCTGTATTTTTAGAAGATATCATAATATAAAAACAAGAGTAAATGAGCCAGTATGTAAATGCAATTTCTTTTTTTTTTTTTAATTCAAGTATAGTTGATTTACAATGTTGTATAAGAGCAATTTTTTAAATAGTATGGTACCACAGAAGCGTTAGTTATGATTTTCTCTTTGAAACACTGGGCTAAGGAAGAAGCAGGAAACAGATCAGAGAGCTGGTTGTGTAATGAATTTATTCATTTACTCATTTATTGAGCTACTTCTAGCATCTACACCTACGTACGTAGATGTACATCTACATCTACGTACTTTATATAAGACACAGTACTTGCCCTCAGAGAGCTCACAGGAAGAAGAGTAAAGAGATTTAAGAAAAATGAGATAAGTGCGAAGAGAAAAAAATATACACGTATGCATACAGGTTTCTGGGAACACGGGGAAAAAAAGGGTAAAAAGAGAGAAGACTGCCTTACAGGATGAGGTCAAAATTCTATGCTTTGCTTCCCCAGAGCAGGAATATTTTGAGATTTGGAAGATCACTTTCTCTCTAAGACTAAATTAACTATTCAAGTGAACAGTGATGTGTGAAAGTTTGGGGAAGGGAAAAGACCTCAAGAGAGGAGGGGAAGGGAAGCGAGTGCAACACAATGAAATATACACATGCAGCTCCGGTAAGGGCCTAAGTCCCTGAGGACGCACTGGCCTGTTTCCACCCCATACAAGGCTTGGTCCATGACTCCTCCCCTCACCTGCCCTGTCTCCTATGAGGAGATGAACCACATCCTAGGCCACGTCTTGGCTCCTAGCCCCACAACACGGGAACACATAAGACAGGCCCTGCTCGCCACCGCTCCAGCTCCCGCAGCCAGGACCCCAGCCTTGTCTCAGGTCATGCTGCCTAGCCCGACTGAGGCTGTGTGGCGGGAACTATGAAAGGCAAAGCCGCAGCAAGCACTGTGGCTGCAGACCCCAGAATTCCTCAACTTCAGACTTACTATGCTGAACGTCTCCTGGTCCAGATCATCCTCCTCATCCTCTCCAATGGGGACAGGCTCGCTTCCCGCTGTAATATGGACAGGACCCTGAGATCGCTTTGATTTACTTGAAGATTTGGCGTCACCACCTTTAGGCTTTTAAAAAAGAGTGACAAGGAATCACTGTCATTTGTGTACTCCTGTCTTGCAATTTGGACTTCTCAGCTATGTCACATCACTACAAGTGGGTACACAGGATGGCCTCAGTTTTGAGACATCATGAAGCCAAACCTATTAACGGTTTAATCATATGTCATTCCCACTTCTGTCTCTAAACAGAGCCAATTATAATTTTAGCTTCACCAATGCTATTCTGGCTTCTATTCCCTAATCCATAAAATGCATGAAAATGTCATCAAGAGGTTAAGACTGTGAATTGGCAGAGCCCTCACAGAGTAGCTTGTAGCAACTTCAAAATGAAAGTACACTTTGATCTTGGAAACTGTATTAACTAAAATATTTCAAGTGACTGAAATTTACATAAATCCACATGGGTAAAGTTCATTTATCCATGAAAGGGTGCAGAAGGATGGAGACAGAGATACATATAAAAAATTTTATGTATGAACATTTAAAAACATAAAACAATACTACGCTTTGATTACGATTATGTAATATGTAGTAAAAGTATAAAAACATGGGCAGGAAGGTTCCACACGAACTTCAGGGCAGTGTTACGGAGGACAGAAGAGGGAGGAGAGCAATGAAATTGGGAGAAGAAACAGAGGGGAGTCCCAGTAATGAGTGCATGGATACCAAATACAGTAGCCCAAAAAAAACCCACTTGAAGTAAACATGAAAAATGTTAACAACAGCTGCAATATCTGGGTAGTGGACACATGGATGCTGGCTAAATCATTCTTTGTGCTTTTATTTTTTAAATATTTCACCTTAAAAGAAGAATACCTTTCTGCAGAAGCACAGATGCAAAGAAAGGTATCTGTTACAATACAGTTTATAACATTAGAAATTTGAAAGCAATTTCAATATGGGAAACTTAAAATTGTTTCCAAAATGTTATAATCAAACAAAATCTTCCTTATCTATTAAAAATGATTTTAACTTTTATTTATTCACTTGGAAAGCTGTTTGTGATATATTGCTAAGTGGGGAGAAAAGGTTATCCAAACAGTCTGGTCTGATTTTTATTTTATATTTGTTCTTATATGCATAATAAAAAAGTTCCAAAGGTGCTCATCAAGAAATCTGTTAGAGCTATGACTGGATGGTGGAATTAAGGCAGTTATTTGTTTGTATGTTTTAACAATGATTAAAGATTAATTGCAAAATAATTTCATCAGAAGTCAGCAAGATGCAACACTGTACCAGAATTCTGTGGTTTGGAATGAACTTCATAAAACCCCAACATGAAGATTATATAATAATAGTAGGGCTTTCACCCATTTCTACTCCAAAAGCTTAACTCTTGATAGTATTTGATAGTATTTCACATATTCAGATTCATCTGTGGACTGTGCTTTTCTACCATGAGTCTGAGAACATGTATCAAGTAGTTACCTGTCCTGTCTCATTCCAACACCCCCTCTGAAGTGTGTAATAAAAGAGCAAATAAAGGCTTCTATATTAAAGAACTCACACACTCCCCTCTCTCTGCAGGAAGAGGTGCAGGCATCCCCCTGACAGCCCCATCCTTCCTTCTGGGATATACTCATAAAATGACAATTATTTCAGGGCCCTCAAATCCCATTCTACTTCTAAATCCTAGAAGGGAATTTCAAAGGCTGCAGGCATCTCAGTAAGCAGAATGACATCGATACCTTCTCTTTCTTATCTTTTGATTTCTTCCTTTCCTTGTCCCCTTCCTTGTCTTTCCTAGAACTCATTTGTTTCTCCTTGTTCTCCTTGTTCTCTTTCTTCTTCTGTTTCTTTTTCATTGGACTTTTTTCTAAGCCATCATCCTAGAAAACAAACAAGGTTATGAGCTTTTGCCACAAACTTTACATTTCCTCGTTTACTTTCTAGAAAAAAAAGCACTGCTCCCAATGGTTCATCACTGTGTCCACAGAAGCATGTTCTCAAGCATACAGCCTTAAAGCTATCTGCTTAAAGTGAAGCCTGTAGAGGCAGATGCTCTTCACTTACATCTTCTCTTTATTTCTCATAGCAACCCTTCAACACAGGCATTATCATTCCCATTTCACAGATGGAAAAAACTGAGGAACAAAGAGGTTATATACCTGCCAGGTAGTAATTGGTAAGGTTGCTAGTATTTGAATTCATGCATGCTTGACTCAAATCCATGCTAGTTCACACACCCACTGCTGATCTTCCTGGAAATAACCTCAAAGGGCAATTACACTTGAAGAGTAACAAAATAAAATCCCATAAAGTTTTCAGTCACAGAAACAACAGACTGAATGCTAGCAAGTTACTTTTCCTTTTGCTTAGACCAGAGGTTACAAGTTGACAGGCCTTGGGCCAAACCTGATCCACAGATGAGTTTTGTTTGGCCCAACAATGAACTGCATAACAGCTGCCCCTATATATTAGGCACAAGCTCCCTGGTTAACCACAGTCTCCACCACTCCCTATCGCTCCCAGCAATGAGGCTGAGTGTCAATTGCCATTTATCACTGAAATTTGCATGGTTCCCTTCATTTCCTTCCATTATGAATTTACTTCTATTATGAATTTTCAATTGCTGATTTTAAATGAACAACTATATTCCTCTCTCACAGGTTAAGCAAAGACATAACATAGTTTCTATTTTTATTTTATCTACTCTGGAATGTAAACCAAACACATTTCAGATAATTTTATACCAGTTGGCACAATAAATGTAACTTAAAAATAATCTCAACTGAAATCCAGCCTCATACCTTTACTTCTCCCTCTTCTGATGGATTATCTGAGTGTCTAGGAGATGAAAACTCAATTCCATGCTCATCTTTCAGCCTCGGTGCTTTGTTTTCCTTCTTTACTCGAGGCTTCCGCTTCTTTAATTTGGCCTGGAAAGGGTAAGAAAATGATGATAAATCAAGTCCGTCAAAAGCACGACCAAATAACATCATGATTCTTTGGAACAGCAGCAGCCATATAATTCAAACAAGGAAACTCAGAGAAAATTCAAAGGAGTGCAACCAATTTTACCTGAAGTAGAAAAAAAGAAACTATATAAATCTCCTATGCCACACAAAAACATCCATATCCTTGAACCTACTGATTCCATTTTTTGGAATTCAATCTAAAGATAAAATTCAAAAGAAGAAAAAAAACCCTTATGTACAAAGATATAAATAAAGATAATATATAAAATAAGAGTAACGTTAAAAAAACTAGAAGCATGTTATATCTAAAAATAATGAAAAGGTGTTCATCTACTCAAACAGATACAGTAATTTAAACAAGTAAAAACATGATGCAGGGGCTTCCCTGGTGGCACAGCGGTTGGGAGTCCACCTGCCGATGCAGGGGGCACGGATTCGTGCCCCGGTCCAGGAGGATCCCACGTGCCGCGGAGCGGCTGGGCCCGTGAGCCGTGGCCGCTGGGCCTGTGCGTCCGGAGCCTGTGTTCCGCGACAGGAGAGGCCACAGCAGTGAGAGGCCCGCGTACCGCAAAAAAAAAACAAAAAAACAAAAAAACAAACATGATGCAATCTATCTCCCCAGAGCCTAACTTATAGAATATCCTCAACATACTATGTGAAGAATGACATTAATTATGACACTACTACGCAAAAAGGACAAGGTATGGGATTGGATTTTTTCTAAAATTTGCTTTCTTTATAATATAGGGAAATTGATACAAATGGCATAGCTCTAAGAGCACTTAAGGAACATGCACACACAAAGGCTGCTACTACTGGCTGTAACTTATAGTATCTCCTAACTGTGATTCTCATCTTTTTAAGCCTGAATTGAAATGAAAAGTTGGGGAAATAAAAGCTAAAGCTCAGATGAGTCCATTAGTAACTCGGTTGAAATTTTTCACTGAGCAAGTAAGGCAACTGTAACTGAAGTCCATTTTCTGAATTAACTGTGTATCCTAATTACCCATTTATTCCCTGGGACCCATGATTACAAGTAGCCAAGTATTAGCTGTAACAACAGGCAAACCCAGTGATATTCACGCAGTACTGAGAACTATATTCCAAAATTGAGGAAGGAGCATAAAGATACAGCAACAGTATGTCTAGACCAGTGGCACTGGGAGAAATGAGGACTATTTTGAGGCAATATTTGAGGAGAATGCCAAGATGTTTAGGTCAATTACTAAATGAACATTACTATCATCACCCAACCAAACCATCATTACTGGAACCTCAATACCAACACTTGACAAGGAGAGGGTTAGCATTCTGTGGAGATGCCTGGAGAGGGCATCTCTTCCCCTACCTAACCCTGCAGGGCTGGAGCCTCAGACCCCTGGACGGTGCCCGGCTGGCAGCTGCACTCACCTCTTCCCCGCCCGTCACGGCCCCCTCCTTCTCCAGACTCTTCCTGAGCAGCTTCAGCAAGTAGTCCGCTCGGGTCTGCAGCTGCTTTCCCTGGGGCTTCTTATCTGTCTCCACTGGCAGGATCTTCAACAGGAAAGGAAGAGAAGTACCCGCCACGGCCCACGGCCCGGTTAGTGGATCAGGATAAACAGAGATGACAAACAACTGAGCAGTCCTTTCCCTCCCCACCACCCAAAATACAGATAAAGCCTCAGATCCTATCTCATGTCCATGGCTCCCAGTCACTGAAAATCCCTTATGAGCCGTTCTCGTTTTACAAAATGGGATGGAGAAATCCAGCTCTCCCACTGGCTCCTACCTGTGCTGTTAACAGGGTAGAACAACTCAGGTAGGAGGGGCTTGTTGGCTTCATCTGCTAGAGCATCCCAGCCGTCGTGGATTTCCTCCTTCCAGGAGCAGGGAATCCCTGGAGCTAGGTTAAAGCTTCGTTTTAGATTGAAAATGCTTCTTAGAGCATTGCTGGAAAGCACTGAGCTATGCCAGGACACAGCTGGACCTCTCAGGCCAGACTGGATTTGGTCTCAGTGCTTATGGCAGGGTGCTGTCACCCTCTGAGAACATTGCACCTGGGATGAGCATTGTTTGACGTGCCAGGAAAAGCCCTGCCAGGAGCACAACATGGAGCGCATCCTACTAAAATTTGAGCCAGCTTTCCCTGCTTACAGCTCTGAGCACGGCCTTACTATACTTGGTAGCCTGATGTGCAACGGATAGGGTGGGAGGCTCGATTTTGTGGGAGAAGTACAGCCACAGTTTAATTCCATTACAAAAAATACCAAGGTATGGCTCATTCTTTCTTCATGTGTAGAACTGAAATATGGCTGTTTCAAATATCGTTAAAGAAAGTGCCAACAACTAAGGCCAAGGAATGCTCTTATTATTAATAATCTTACCCTGGTATTTGTTGCAATGAGATTTGACCTACAAGAAAAATCAGAATTTGAAGGCTTCTCCTGTAATTTCCCAAAAATTTCACCTGGCTATAATTGTCATCTCTGAAATAGTGCCACAGTCCACTAAAGATGGTAATGTTTCCAGGGATAAAGAAATCCCAGGAATTTACTATTGTTCTAATTTCCAATTTGATCCCCACCCCCCAGAAAATAGTTAAAAGTAAGTAATCAATATAAAAATATTATACAACAAATCTTCTAGACATCTCCAGCATCACAGAAATACTTACTTTGTCAGTTAACTTAAGCTCTGGATCCGTTTTAATTAGCTCCCAGTTTCCATAGCCGTGTTCATAAATTCCCAGCAATAGGCGAGAATCATCCTCTACTCCCCACTCGACATCAAAATGTGCAGCTTTGACACGACAGGTTAAGCAGTATCTGAAAAGATTTCCAAAGCAGGAGGACATTAGAGGAAGGGTCTTTCTGATTTGGGAATAAACACCAATGAGCAAAGCACTCTGGTATGTTAGAGAAAAAATAATGAAAATACTACATAACTACACATAACTGTAACTTCAAATCTGTTTTCTAATGGCACAACCACCCATGCATGGGCATGTATTATACTCACTTTTTTTTTTCTTCAGGGTCTACAGGGATAGATTTATGCAGCATCTCAAACTCTTCTTCATGTTGGATAATAGATTTCACATTAACCTGAACCCCAGATATCTTGATAGTTGGGCCTCTCTTTTTCCCTGGTCCTTTCCCTAAAGAACACCAATTTCATATTCGTTAAGTGAGAATTCGCTGAAGTTTCACAAAAAACATAGGTCAACAAATCCTGAACTCTTATTCCCTCAGCGTATATGTCTGGTTTATCGTTAATTCAAAGATATAATCAAGTAAGGCAGAAAATTTTCTCAATTAATGTTTATAAAATAATCTCTAAACAATTCAGTTTTTTAAGATTTAGAATTTTTTAATCCAGTAGTGTTTATAATTGTATTTTAATCTTCTTATTCCTGTTTTATACTTTGGCTCTAAAATTAATAAAATTTATGAAAGAAGATTTTAAAGGAGTAATATTAATGCTGAAGTTTTTTCTTTTCTAACCCATCAACAGATTTTTAAGTGCTTTAAAAGATGATCTTCTCTACTAAAAAAGTATGAGATCAAGTTAATACCTAACACATTTGAAATGATGAACAAAAGAAGTCATAGCCCGAGTTTCCAATTAAAGTAATCCTAGAAGTAAAAACAAAGCAGTCAATTCTAACCAGAGTCCAAATCGAAATGCATGATAATGACACTTGTCTGTGAGGGAAAAGATGGCTCAGAGCCTGAGAAAAGATTTCTTTTTTTAACATTCAAGTCGATGAAATGGCACTACAATTATAAACAATTATTTAGGGATTCTCATATAACCCACAAGAATTTCACTTGCAAATGCTATTCCCAACAATACTGATGAGTTCTGGAACAGAATGTGGCAAAACGGGAAAGGCACCTCCTCCGAAGATCAGAAATCTGGGATTTATTCCCGGATCTGCACAAACTACCCCCTGTCCCCTTTCCCCTCTCACTTCTAGTTATTAACCTCTCTGGGTCTGTGTTTCCTCATCTGTAAAATAAAAAGATTGCAACAGAAAAATGGGCAAAGGATAAAGAGACAATTCACAGAAAAGGAAATACAAATGGTTCCATGTGAAAAATACTCAACCTCATTCATGGTAAGAGAAATGCAAATTAAATATATAGACATAGCCTTTTTAACCTCAGGCTGGGAAAATTCAAAGATTTGAAAATATGTCGGTGAGACTAAGAGGAAACAGACACTGCCATTCTAGTCAATGCTGGTGGGAGGATATGGCGCAAATGGCATACACACAAGATTATTTACCACAACACCGTAAAGCAAAAGATCGGAAAGCTAAACGTCCATTAACAGGATACTAATATTGTAAATCCGTAACAGATTATGTAGCTCTTCAAACAAAAAAAAAAATCAGGCAGTGGAGAAAAGATCAACCATCTTTAATGAATGGTGTTGAGACATATAGTAGCCATATAGGAAAAATCCAAAATCCAAAAAACCTGGATGCAATACCAGGAAAAACTCCAAGTGAATCAGAGATATAAAAGTAAATGAAATCACATAGGTATTGGTGGTGGTGGGGGGTGATCTTAATGACTTCCTTTATATCCTCAGAGTAGAAAAAAAAATTTTTTTTTAGTTTGTTACAATATATTGAATATAATAGGTTCCTTGTGCTATATTAAATCCCTGTTGTTTACCTCTTTTATATATAGTAGTGTGCATCTGCTAATCTCATACTCCCAATTTATCCCTTTCCCCTTTGGTAACCATAAATTTGCTTTCTATGTCTGTGAGTCTGTTTCTGTTTTGTAGAGGAAATGTTTTTAATCAAAATCCAAAACAACAATAGGGTAAAAGATTGATAAATTTGACTATATAAAATTTTTTTAAGTTTTCTGTACAAAATACCATAGCAAAGTGAGAGGACAAATCACAAACTGGAGGAGAACACTGGCAACTTTTATCAGAAAAAGAGATCCTGGGACTTCCCTGGTGGTGCAGCGGTTAGGAATCCACCTGCCAATGCAGGGGACACAGGTTCGATCCCCGGTCCGGGAAGATCTCACATGCCGCGGAACAACTAAGCCCGTGAGCCACAACTACTGAGCCTGTGTGCCACAACTACGGAAGCCCACATGCCTAGAGCCCGTGCTCTGCAACAAGAGAAGCCACCGCAGTGAGAAGCCCACGCACCGCAAAGGAGAGTAGCTCCCGCTCGCCGCAACTAGGGAAAGCCCATGCGCAGCAACGAAGGCCCAACACAGCCAAAAATAAAATAAATAAAAATTTTTTAAAATTCCTTGTATTAAATCTTCTTAAAAAAAGACAAGAAAAAGAGATCCTAAAAATTAAGATCAACAGCTCAATAGAAAATGGGCATAATATATGTACAGACAGTTCACAAGTGGCCCTCAGAAAAGATGCACAACATCGCTCATTAAAAGAAAAGTGAGATGCCATTTCCCAACAGTCAGTTTGGCAAAAATCCAAACATTTGACAATACATTCTGTTGTGTATGAATATACACTGTAGGTGGCAATGTAAATGGTATCAGATTTATGAAGAATTTGGCAGTATCTAACCAAATTACATATGCATTTTTCCCAGGACTCAACAATCCCACTTCCAGAAATTTATCCCAAAGATATGCTGGCAGAGATATGAAACAGCATATTCATTAAACTATTTATTCATTGTGGCTTTATTTATAGTGACAGAAGACTGAAAACAACCCAAATATTTATTACTAGGGGACAATAAAGTTTGAATTAACATCTATCTACACAGTGGAATACTGTGCAATTGTAAAAGGAAGGAAGTATGAACTCTACACAGTAAGATGGAGTGAACGCCGTATGTAAAAATAAGTAGATGCAGAACAGAATATAATGTATGATATCTCCTGTATAATAGAGGAAATACACACACACAGACTTAAAATTTTAAAAAGAAACAATGGAAAGATAAGCCCAAAACTAATCGAAATGATTACCTACAGGGGAGGAAGACAACAGTACTGGGGGGACAGGAATGAAGGCAAGATTCTCTCATCGTGTTCCTGGTTTTGTTCTGACTTTGGGCCATGCAAATGTTTTACATAATTAAAGAAACAAAGTTTCATCAAAAGGAGAAAAGTAGTCCCTAGAAACTGAAAGGAAAAGAAAACAAAAGATACTAAACTATATATTAAGTTGGTGGCATAACCACACAGAGAAAAGAACAATTTCAAATAATTTTAAAACATAGTACTTTGTGTACTGCTAATGAGGTGTATTTTAAGGACAAAAAGAAACACAAAGAAATCAAACTCTGCATTAAGAAGTCTTATAGTTAACAGTAAAATCAGGGGGATTCCCTGGCAGTCTAGTGGCTAGGACTTGGCGCTTTCACTGCCATGGCCCAGGTTCAATCCCTGGGCAGGGAACTAAGATCACACAAGCCTCATAGCACAGCCAAAGAAAGAAAGAAGAAAACAAACAAATAAAAACAGTAAAATTGGTACTAATATTTGGAAACGTGTATAATGTATAAGACAAATACATGATTATGTTAACATTTTTAGGAACAAAATTTTCAACTTAAGCAAAGAGATATCAATAATCTTACATTAGAATTGGAAATGTTAACCTGGACTCAGGAATATGCTAAATGCCAATTTATAGAAAATACAGGTATATGGAAACAAGTTAAGCAATGCCAGAAGGAAGCAATCAACCAGATGCAGAATGTGAACATGCAGAGAAAAGAAACATGTGGAAAGGAAGGGACTGTTACAAGGAAATATCTCCAAATATGCTGTGAGATGGACAAAGCAAGGTACAGAACAGTGTGCATGCTACAGCACCAATTGTGTTAAAACAGTATCTATTCATTTTTGGAACATATGTATTTTTATATTTCTAGAAGGAGACAAGAAATAGGGATACCTGTTTTTCATTTTTGAGCCATGTGAATATAATACTTATTCAAAATAGTTACATGGAAAAAAAAAACACTGTAAAGTTAAGATTTACTTTTGGATGTATTCTTGGCGCTATAAAAGCACATATTTGGATCACTGTCCAAACCACTCAAGTTATTTAAGTTTTTTTCATGGAAAAAAAATGTTTTTGACTATATTCAAGAGATTTAAAAATTCTATTACTTTTAGTAACAGCCTTAAGAAGAAAATTGCAAAGCACAAATACTTCTTTACTTAATGAAATAGCTAATACTGCAAGCCAGATGTGATGACAAGCACTTCACATGTATGGAATTATTCAAGTGACCATCCAAACCCTTTGAGGCACAGACTACTACTCTATTTTGCACATGAGACTGTTAAGAGGCTATCACTTGTCTCAGGTCTTGCAGCTAAGAAATGGCAGGACCAAGATTCCAGGTAAACTGGCTGCCTCCAGGGCCTGAATACTTAACCACAGATGACAGAGCCTCCTGTAACGTCAGTGAAGGGTGACAAAAGAATGGGGGCAATGGCACAGATAAACCACAGTCCAGTGAACTGTGGAATGACCACACCCTCATCTTTTTGTTTGAGGTTCAACTATAAGGGTGTCCTTTAACAACAAGGACCTCAGCTCTCTCCTGACACCTCCTGCTTTTAAAGGACAGGCAAAAGCACTCTTGGTGTATAAGACAGAACACACTACAGGTCGAATCGAATTACAGCAAATTCTAGTGCCAAAGAGAGTCTCATTCCAACAAAAAGGTTTACAATATTCATCTACTATTTTCATTCTAACTAATTCTCTAAATCCTTTAAGTTTATCACAACAAAACAATACATGTATGTATATCCAAGATAATTACTGATGTCTGTGGTCTGTAATGTCCTCACTTACAGCCAAAATGCAATGTGTCCACTCAGCTTTACCCACTCAGGTCTTTACATCATTCAAACCAATCTAAACTTTCTACAGTAACATTAAAAGAAATCATTCATCTTGTTCATTACTTTGCACCTTCTGCAAATCAACTTCATTTGTGAGTAAATCTTTGGAATCTTAAAACTGACCTCACGGGCTTCCCTGGTGGCGCAGTGGTTGAGAGTCCGCCTGCCAATGCAGGGGACACGGGTTCGTGCCCCGGTCCGGGAGGATCCCGCATGCCGCAGAGCGGCTGGGCCTGTGGGCCATGGCCACTGAGCCTGCGCGTCCGGAGCCTGTGCTCCGCAACGGGAGAGGCCACAACAGTGAGAGGCCCACGTACCAAAAAAAAAAAAAAAAAAACCCCAAAAACTGACCTCACGTAAAGGCAGGTGAGAATACACACCTCAAAAAATTAGGGATGCATGGGATATAAGTGTGTTCATCTTAAAAAAAAAAAAAAGATGCTTAGCAGCAGAGATCCCAATCCACAAGTGCCAGGTCTTTGAGAATCACTGAGGGAGACATGCTGACTTACCCTCGCTGGCATTTTCTTTCAGCTGCTCTTCGTATTCTTGCATTGCTGACACACAGCTGTTGTGAATCAATTCCCCTAGGCGCTTCAGATCTGCTACAGACTTATCTACCAACTCAGCATCACGTGCTATGCACTCCAGCCTGAGGAAAGACAAATACGGGGATACCTCAAGGCCCTGTGCCCACGTTTCTAATGTCACGTGAGCTACCACTTGGTTTCACATAAGCTTGCTCCTGCAAAGACACTTTCTCTACATGCCTTAATTGATCCTTCCAACAAGAACCCTCGGACAGTGACTGACGACTTACTTTCCATCATAAAGAATTTGACTTGGAATAGTCCACAAAAACAGACTAATTTCAAAAAACAGAGGAGAAAGGGTTCATCTTTCTTTATTAACTAAATGCGCTGTCTGATAACAGTAGCAGGTGAAGTGCCCCAAAGCTATTCGCACTAGTTTGTTTCTTTGTGCTCACTTTCCTTTCTCTAGCCTACTTTCATTCACTGCAATGTTCCTAGAAGCGAAGTACAGTTACATGTACAATATGTTTCGTTGATCCCCAAGTCATCTGGAGCAGGTGAGTAAATTAATGTCTAAAAGCCAGGCTGTCAAAAGGTGCCAGACCTTAAAAATGGAAAGTAGAACCAAAAAAAGAAACCTCTACAATACAGAAGTGAAAAAGAGGCGGATAAGGAACTATTATATTACTAAGCTTACCGTTCAAGAGGGAGACCAAACTTCTTATACGCCTTGATGAACCTAAGAAAATAATCAATAAATCACATTAAAAAAAAAGACTTCAGCTATATTAATGCAAACACATCCTGTGATGAAATATGAGCCATAAAAACTGTCAAAAAGAGACTGGGCCCAATCCTTGCAACTGCCACTAAATGAACTAAAGGTGGCCTTTGAAAATGGCCAGCTTAAAATAGTGAGTGCTAAAAATCTATTCAAACCAAAGATTAACTTTATTCTCAGTGACTGGTCATGAAACTGCTTAGCGACATAATTGAGAATGGTGACTTAACTCTAGTACTATCATTTTTAGAAGGTACAAGTTTATGGAGTTCAATACATAATAAATGATTTAAAAACCACAACCTCTTATAATAAAATCCAGTACAGTTAAGTGGTCTATTCAGTCCACTATTGTTACTTTCAATTCCACACTGCAATATTTTCCATTACTTTCTGGTCAATAATACAAATATAAGGTTTTTAGGACTGCCTCAAATACTTTTTGTAATGAGGCAAAGTAAAATAAACATATGATTTTAAACTTTTTAGGCAAAACTCTTTTGGAAACTCTGACTCCTTCTGCCAAACATTGTCTCCAGCCAAAAATCTAATCTATCCTTCCACAAGTCTCTAGCCTAAACCATGCTATATGCCAATCCATGTTTAATCCACTCCCCTCCCTTCAGCCAACCACTAGACTTTCACTAAAAAAGCAAGATGCCATGATATATCAAGGGCATCACTGTAACATGCCAAACTACCTGGTTAGATAAAAATGAAGGGAGAGATACTATGGAGAAAAAAAATGAAAAGAGAGGGCACAGCAATTAAAGAAAATGGGGATGAATATAACAATAGCTAAGAAACAGTATTAAAGGAATAGCATGGATTAGGAAAGTACTATATGTGAAAGCAAACCTGAGAATTATTCCTCCACTCTACGATTCTTCTTCTTGATATATACTGAAATATTTTACATCTGAAATAATATGCCATTTGTGATTACTTCAAAATAATATTGAGACAGAGAAGCATTCCAGGAATGGTGGAGTAAGGACCTCTGAAAATCCGCTGCTCCGTAAAAGCAACAAGAACACTGGCAAAACTGTCAAAATCAACTTTGTTAGAATGCTGGAAATTAACCAAAGGCTTGCAGCCATCTTATGAGCATTTATTCAAGAAAATGGCTGAATCTCAGTATGAACAGTGAGCTCTCTGGCATTCTGACTTGCTCTGTTTCCCATGCCCTCTCCCCAGCTCCATAACTGCCTTGAAAACTACACCTTCCCAACTACTGCAGCTGTGCAAAGAAGCAACACAGCAGCCACTAGAGGGAGCAGAACAGGCCTAGAGCTCCCCAAAAGCTCTTTCCCCAGAGAACAGTGCTATTTTGATCTGACTGACAGCACCCTGAGAAGCTCCATTCTCAGACTTGTCTTCATTTGACCTCTGTATGAAGAACACTGTCTGTAGTTCATCGGTCAAAAAACAATTAGAGGCAAAGGTTTAACACCACAGCTGCCTGAGGCAGCATTACAAGTTGGCAATATGAACAGGTTGACCAAAAACTGCAATGGAAAAACCTGGGGGAAAAGATGTGCACAGGGGTCTTTGAAAAGCTCAGGCATATTCCTGGGTATCTAGAAGGCTGCTTATATGCAGGGCTATGTGCAGGCACAGAGAAGACCTGAGGAGCTGTGAATCTCTCACCTCTGGCTGGCATTGAGGCTCTGCACAAACAGGAACTGAAGGCTAAGGCAGAGCTGTAAACTGCCTATCAGAACATTGAAGACATCCCCAAAATACACAAGTAGCCCTTCAGCAAAGGCTGGTAGATTCACTGGTTGGTAGACTTAAGGTGTTTAAGGAAGTCTCTGTCCAATCATTAGCTGACCACTAAGCTAAATGAGCAGAGACTTCAAAAGACAGAGAAGACAGACTTCGCAGAACTAGTCCAGAAAAGCTACTGAACAAACAGCAACAACAACAAACAGCAAATACAAAAAACTCTTGCTGGCAGGGGGAATCTGATTTCCAGACTTGCCACTTTGTATTACTTAAAATGTCTAGTTTTCAACAAATATTACAGAAAACAAGAAAGTATGGTCGCTCTACAGGGAAGAAGATGGTTTTCAATGGAAATAGACCCTGAGGAAGTCCAGAAGTTGAACTTATTAGACAAAGGTTTTGATCAACTATTATAAATACATACAAGAACTAAAGGAATCCATGTCTGACGAATTGAAAGAAAATTTGAGAATAATATATCACCAAATGGAGAATATCAACAGAGACAGAAATTATATAAAGGAGTCAAATATAAATTCTGGAGCTGAAAAGTACAATAACTAAGATGAAAAAAATCACTAGAGAGGCTCAGGATTAGATATGAATTAGCAGAAGAAAAAAAATCAGTTAAAAGATAGGTCAACTGAGGGACTTACTTCCCTGGTGGCGCAGTGGTTGAGAATCTGCCTGCCAATAGAGGGGACATGGGTTTGAGCCCTGGTCTGGGAAGATCCCACATGCCGCGGAGCAACTGGGCCCGTGAGCCACAACTACTGAGCCTGTGCGTCTGGAGCCTGTGCACCTCAACAAGAGAGGCCACGACAGTGAGAGGCCCGCGCACTGCGATGAAGAGTGGCCCCTGCTCGCCGCAACTGGAGAAAGCCCTCGCACAGAAACCAAGACCAAACATAGCCAAAAATAAATAAATAAATAAATTTATTTTAAAAAAATATATAATCTCCAGGGAAACCACTAAGAAAATAACTTTTAAAATATAAAAGAAACAAGAGAATTAAAATAGTATACTAAAAAATATGTAATATAAAAGAAGGCAGTAATGGGGGAATAAAGGAACAAAGAAGACCCAAGACATAAAAAATGAACAGCAAAATGCAGACATAAATTCTATCTTATAAGTAACTGCATTAAATGTAAATGGTTTAAAGACTTCAATCAAAAGGAAGAGATCAATAGAATGGATTTTTGAAAAACATCTAACTATATACTATATACAAGAGTTGCAAGCTAGATTCAAAGACACAAATAGATTGAAATAAAAAAGGAAAAAGATACTGCACATACAATACCAAAAGAGAGTTGGAGTGTCTACACTAATATCTAACCAAGTTATAAACTTTAAGACATAAATTGTTACTAGAGACAAAGAAGGATATTTTATAATGAGAAAACGGTCAATTCATCAAGACAACAGATTATAAAGCATACACACCTAACAGCAGAGGCCCAAAACATATGAAGCAGAAACTGACAGAACAGAAGGGAGAAATAAACAATACAGCAATAATAGAGCCTTCAATACCCCATTTCCAATAATGGATAGATCAGGCAGAAGATCAATAAGGAAATGGAAGATCTGAACAATAGTAAACCAAATAGACTTAAAAAACATCTATAGGACACTCCACTCAACTGCAGCAGAATATACATTCTTCTCAAAATAACACTGAGGGTAGGGGAAAATAGAAATATGGCACACACACAAGACTGACTACAAACTCATAATGGTTAAAATAATACCCGGGGAGGGGGTGCGCTAATATTCTATCAATGTTTGTATACATTTACATTTTTCCATAATAAATTAAACAAAGAAAGAATAAAAGAACAGGTATAACATTTAGTGGGAAACAAAGACCTTGTGATTTCAAATACTGACCTAAAAGGACTATTTGATAATAGTTAAAATTTGGGTTAGACCATAAAGTTAATCATTTTCATATTTTCTACTTTCTTCAGCTTTTTAAAAAAATAACATGGCAGCTAGGGGAAAAGTGGTTTGGAAGCAATAATTTTAGATTTTTCTGGAGGGAAAAGGGGTGTGAATCAGACACCAACAAATGTGTAGTAAGTACTGACATAGAAAGATGCCTAAAATTGGTTATAAGTGACAAGAAGCTGCAGAACAGTATGTTGTATATACCAATAAACCAAACTGATACCAGCACTAACACTGATGGAAAGTAAACTGAGGTTACCTGTACTACTTTAATTTTTTATATTTATACCATTTCTTTTATACACATTGATACATATGTATGTATGTATTTATTCATATTCTTCAATAAAAACAAAAAAGAAAGTTTCAGCCCAAGTTTACCTCCAACAGCCTCTTTCCTCTTGGCTGGACTTGCTTTGTGAAATGTTCAGAACCCAGAACAAGAAGTAAACAAACAGAAAGAGCTCAACTGAGGAAAACCTTGGAGAAGGGAGAATCATCCTGGGGCCTTGGAGCATGACTCAGTCCCCCTTGCCTTCCTCTGACCTCCCTGTCATCAATGTCAGGGATCCATCAACCTGAGGCTTACAGCATGTCCTTCCAAATGTGAGGGGGAAGGAGAGCAGAGCCCCCACTAACCTCCGGATCTCGGCATCAGTGAATCCCTCCACAAGGTCCTTCCGCACACTTCGGGGGCGCCCTCTGCGCTTGGGCTTCTTGTCGTCATCAGAGTCATCTGTCTCACTCTCAGAGGCAGAGGATCTCTGGGCCTGCCTCTTAGACTCAGTATCAGAGTCACTGTCATTTGTCTGAGCCTGAAAAGGCAAAGTCACATTGTAGCAAGTGCCAGGTCCAAAAGATCTAAGGACTAAGACCAGCCCATCTTAACTCCTTAATACTCAGAACTTCCCATCGTATCAGGCAAGTCAATTTCCCTTTAAGAAAGAAGGAAGCAGATGGCATGTGATGAAAGAAGACCTGCTTGGGACAGTCATTCTGCCAGAGACATACTGTAATGTCATTAAGTAAACTGGAATAAAAATATTTGGATTGTGGCTTCATGCTTACTTCCTTGGGCAAATTACTTTACTTCTTCATGCCTTTGTTTTCCATTTGTAAAATGGGGACAATAGCACCTATAATACAGGGTTTTCATACGAATTAAATGAGTCAGTGAATGGAAAAGCACTAACTTATGCCTGACATACAGGGAATACTCAATGATAGCTACTATTAGCTAATACTGATTTACTAGGATCTCAGACAAACCTGAGTCTGTTATCTCCAACAACTGGGTAATAAAACAGTCTATCTACTTAAATGTTGTTGCAAAAATCAAATTAGATAGTGCCTATGATAGAGCTTTGTAAACTGAAGCACCTTTATATAATCGCTTACTAAGTATTTATGCCAAGTGCTATAAACAAACACTTAAAGGTGAAAAGAGGTTTGACTCTGAAAGGCAAAGGCCTTGCCAATTAGAACCAAACTCTTAGACTTACTGGTTCTAATCTCAAGGCCAAAATGTAAACTTCTGTCAAACTCAAAACCTGTCCAGCCATCTCACAAACAGCCAATCTGCAAAGATCAAATGGCTCATAGGTATGCGCGTGAGCCTTGTGCATTTTTCCATTTCCCTCTGCTAGGTTTCCTATAACTCTACCCTGGAACCCTCCACACATCCGGACAACAACATAAGGTGAACAAAATAAGAAGTATCAATACTTCCATATCTTTCATGTTATTTGTTCACCTTTTTAGTGGAACTCCGAATTCGAGGCAACATATAAATTTCTTCCAGCTCTTTCTGCCGCTCTTCCTCCTCTACTTTCTTCCTTTGCTCCTCTGGAATGATCTCATCCCAGTCCTTGTGAGGACGCTCTTCTAGTTCTTCTTCATCCTCCATTGTTGCGAAGTTGGCAACCTTAAAACAAATGGACAACCCATTGTCTGACATTTCCCTATTTCCCAAACACCATCTACTAACACACCAACTCAAGCACTGTTTTTAATCTAACATGCTATGAATGATAATAGGACTCCTGTGATATTACATAATCAAATAATCAATTTTCTACTCATCTCTCCCTTATCGCCCCCCCAACAAAATCTACTTGCCAAATCCTAAAGTTCATCAGAAATTTTACTGAAAAACAGGGAAAGATATAAAGCTACAAACTGCCTTATAAGTTTTATTGAAAGATTTGCTGTTAAATCATACATACTTTCTAATGTACTAATTAGAAATTTTAGATTTATTTAGATTATAACATTTGAAAACCTAATACTAATCCATTACAAACTTACAGTCCTATACATTATAAATCGCTACTGAATAGAGCTCATTTGAAACAACCCATAACTCAAAGCAGTAGCTATTGGTTACCTTATTCATTTTTATCAAAAGTATAGAAGCTAAAGGTCTGTAAGAATTTCATATGCTCAAAACTGCATGTTAGTCTTAGGAATAAAAACAAGAACACAAAATGCAAAAAACTGAAATAAACCATTTATTTCATATCAAATATTTAATATATTTAGACCAGGACACCATCATGAAGATTACATCTGTTTAAGAAGGGAGCAGTAGCCATAGAAGTGAAATCCAGTTGAAACGCTAACAATTCACCTCCATCCTCTGCATCCACAGACACATTAACTCTGATCCTAGAGCTCTGTGATCCACTCAACTCCTTCCTTTTTCTTCCACTAAGACAACTTCTACCTGTGGCCAACCTTGGACTTCATCACAAAATAATGCTTCCTTTCAAACACTTCTTCCTCAGCCCTTATGGGTCTACCACACATAACCATCAATGTAACCTCCAGGTCTTCCCTGCTTCTCTAACATGCATGGAACCAAACCATGATGAATCCATTCAACCATGTTCTCACTGGAATCTGGGAAACTTGCCACTTTGATGACTCTTCGATGCCTCCCAAGCCAATTCTCCCACCTTGGGATGGCCAACTGATTCAACTTCTCTGACCTCAAGTATTTCTGGAGCAAGTCATATGATCCTGCTGACTGGCTCTAATGTGAAGCCCCATCTTCTAAATTCAGCTCTACACCCTAAACCAAGTTCCTCCTGGCAACTCCTGGCCCCTGGATGGGACTATCCCAAATCTTTTCCACTTCTCAGCTAACACCTCACTTAATTTACTGGTAATTAAGGTCACCAGTTGGAACTCCTACATCTTCTCTCCCCTCTATTTCCTGAAGTGTATACTTTCCTTTTTCTTTCAAAGGCCAGTTCCTCCATCTGTGCTTTTGATTATATCTGTTCCAGTCTCCTCCTGGGCAATGTGCAACCAAATTTTCCTTCTTTCCTTAGAACCTTCAGAATTTCCCTATTCTCAATTTCTTTCCTCAACCTAGAAACGTGGTAACACCTTTAAAAAATTTTGCCTTGCTTGATCCTTCTATCCTCATAAATTACTTTCACTGTTCTCTTCACTAAGCTTTTTAATAATGTCTATACTCAATGCTGTCATCTCCTACTCATCAGGCGCGCAGCTTCTGCATTTAGTCCTGATCTCATTTAATTTTCTATCAAATACCACTAACTACCCCATAACTGTCCTTAAAAAAAAAATCCCACCAAGTCAAGAGCTTCCCAACTGTCACCTTCGATTTTCATACCTTTGACCTCTCTTTCTTATGATTCTATTAATGTCTCTCCCACAACCTCTCCACCCCTCCCAGAGCTCCACATTACCAAGTTCTCCACCTATCCCACTGACAGCTTATTCTCAGCCCTTGTCACAGCGACTTCTTTTCCTCTACCCACTGAATCTGGGCAGGATGGACCGCTTCAGTGGTGACCCTCATGGGGAGGACTATATGGTCTATACCCACATCATACTTGGAACTCTAGAGAATGATTTTGAGGGGTATGAGTCAACTTCGGTAAATAGAAAAGCAGAGTCCCTTGCACCCAGAAAGTACTGACAGGCATTACTTATCATTGGTTCATGAATCAATGCCAAAGACTTTCTCAGACAATGATTTTCATACCTTAAATTGTGACAGAAGCTCATCTGTTGCACTTGTCGAGACTTCATTCTCTCTGGTTTCAGCCAAGCGCAAAATTTCATCTATATCCATTTCCTAAAAGAACAAGAGCAACACAAACATGGTAAAAAGGCAAGCAGTGGTAAGCATTTACTGAAAATGACTGGTGCAAATAAACCGACTCTCTTCTCTGATATTCCATTTTCTTTCACACTCTCAGTTTCATGTCCTTTACATCTAATGTTTCAAACTACTATTTATACAAATGATAAGATGAAACTTCAGAAATTACGAGAAATAAAATTGGAATAAAAAAGACCAAAGACAAAATCCTCAAATGCTTTTCTCATTCTTTCCTAGTCAATTTAGTAAGAGCTTTTAGCCCTGTAAGAAAAAAAGAGAAACTATGTTCTGCAAGTAACTACTATTTCCTTATAAAAGCCTCAGACTCAGAATCACTTCCAGAAAATTTCAGACTCTCACAGATGATACTTATCAAGAAATTTTTTTCCCTTATTGTTGACTACCTGAGGCTCTGATTCCTCCCCTTCGAGTTCTTTGAAGAGATCCTCCGCTCCAAATTTCAAAATCGCTGTCAGCTCTTCTTTATTAAAAGGATTTGAACTGCAGAAATAAAATGTAGTTGTAATCTTTTAGGAATGTCAGATAACCTCTACGGAGTTCTAAATATCTATTCTTCATAAAGAGGTCAAATTACTGGTGAAGATATAAATTCTGCCACAAGAAAAATGATCTCACAAATATTTCATGTTTTTTAATCCACAGGATGAGTCTGCAGTGGTAAACCTAACCTAACAAAAGACTAAGAAATCAATTATTTTCCTGTTGATTCATCTGTTACATGGTTAAGCAAGAAAGATAATTAGCAACATGAGAGAAGGGAGTTCTCTCTTTGTCCTTTGACTCAGAAAGCTATCATTCACCATGAATTTTCAAACTCCTCATCTCTGGTCCAAACTAAAAGAACAAGCTTTTTCTGCCTAGTTTCCTTTTAATGGAAAATTATCATCATCTAATTAGGAAGGGCTCATTTGATCTCACCTGTAACACAAGTTGCAGGACTGCCTCAGAAGACACTCAACAATTTGGTCAAAATGTAAACTCTCTAAGAGAAATAGTTGTGTTTCCAAATAAAGCCAACTAAAACTTAACTACTTTCCTTTTATAGCCTTCTGTTTTCAATAGGAAAGATAATCTCCACACAAACTTTTTTACCAAGAAATAGATACCAATTCAATCTGGTGCATTCTCACTGCTGAAAAGTCCAAGGCAACATTGTGCCAGGATGAAAGCCCAATGGGGAGCACACAGCTGCCACTGCTGCTGCTGTGTCATATGTCACAGGCAGAGCCAAAAGCAAAAGGCAAGAGAGGAGGGCAGGAAAGAGAGAGGGCACATAAGAAAAGAGCTGATATGGAAAAAAAAAAAAAAAAGAACCCGAAGAAGAAGGAGAAACAGGGGCAGCAAAATAAAATGAAAATGCCATCTTCTTGCAGTTTTGGCTTGGCCTTTTCCAGGTAATTAATGGATTAATGTCTGTTGTAAAGCATCCTATTAGAAAAATGAATTATACCAAATGACATAAAATTGACTCTGCTACCTCCCCCATCTTTCTGGCACTTACTTGGACCTTCCAGAGTTGTTTTCCAGAACTGTCCGGCCAGTGGTATCCATGCGCTGAATCACCAGATGGTCCAATACCATCTTCTTTTTGGCCCGTTCTATGATCTCTTCCTCCACGGTCCCCTTTGTAACCAAGCGGTAAATATTTACCTGTAGGAAAAGGAAATGTTATGCTTATGCCTGATCACACATACAAAAAAGTTACCTCTGCCTAAAACCAAGGGGGAAAATAAAAAAATATTTGTTCTCTGCTATGGCATATCACTTGTAAGCCATCCATCCAAGCAGACAACTTAAGTATTGTACATGCAATGTTTTTACTATTCGCAGCACGTTACATTCTTAAATAAAATAGCCTCTAAGGAATTATTATAGCCTTGTTCTAACAATAAAAATGCTGCTAAAGAATGATCTGTCTCATTGAAACTGAATCTTTGGCCACATATGAAACTTAAAGAGGTACCCAGTACTAGAGCAGACTTTGAAATTCATCTACGAAGGAAACAAGTGTGTACGTTTCCAACATACCACAGAGCTAATACTGTTCGTGTGTAATAAAAGTAGACCATCTTGAACAATGTTAGAATATTTTAACAACTTTTCCATAATAAAATAGATGGAAAATTTCAATTCTAAGTCTATTCATCATATATCTTTGAGTAAGCCAGAAAGTTACTGGTGATATACTTTTCAAACAGCAAAAGAGAATAGTTTCATATCTATAAGCTCATCTCAGCCCCAAAGACAGCTTCTCTGTACTAATTAACAAACAGACATCTACCCTTGGGGAAATGAAGACAAAACAGGAAAAAAAAAAAAAAGCATTTTACAAACATCCTGAAAGGGCTGAATAACCTCCCCTGCCCCCTCCCCTCCAAGCCATATCTAGAGGCCCCCTCTCCACTGACCTGCTTCTTCTGACCAATTCTGTGGGCTCGGGCTTGTGCCTGCAAGTCGTTCTGGGGGTTCCAGTCAGAATCAAAGATGACAACTGTGTCCGCTGAAGCCAAATTGATTCCCAGGCCACCAGCCCTTGTCGAGAGCAGGAAACAGAAGTCCTGTACACAATGCAATATACTACTTTATGCAGTGGCCTTCTCAGAAACAGTTTCACAGTCCAATAAGCCCTTATACCTGGAAACCCCTGCAGGTGTGAAGAAAAGTGAGATATGATGGACAAACTTTATGGAGGCTACAAGAATGTCAGGGACTTGATGGCAGAGTGAATTTTCATTTGATTAAGAGGTAAGAGTCAGTGCAATGAACTAAGGAGTAAAGTAGAATCTGATAAGGCAACAGGAGCAAAAGAATTGGTGTTCTCTCCTGGCTAAAACTAGTATACAAGCAGTTAACAGAAACCAGACAAACTTAATTATCATGAGGATTGTTTCAGCAAGTTGCTTAGATACTTATTTCCTGGGTAAAGGTGGATTATGCCATGTAAGGCATTCAGTATGAGCAAGGAGACTTTATTGGGTAAATGTCCATTCATTTGTTAGGCTGGTGAGGAATACAGAAACACTGTACTAAGAGATCACATGACTGAACCACTGGACAGCACAGGATCCTCAATCACCACAGAACATGCACAAAGAAAACCAGAGCAGGTGTGGCCGAACGGCAGTGTGTGGGAAAGACCCAGGCACTGACATATTCCAGTTTCCATAGCAATGATAACAGAGACTGGGCAGGAACAGTACACCAGCCTGCATCTGAGTGCTCAGAAAAAAAATGGGCAGGAGGCAGAGAATAAACTCTGAGCCAGAGAAAACCAAAGCCAAACAGATTTCTATTTCCAGGGAATTTGGTCATGTATCAAAGACTGACACCTTTCTGGCATGGAAATGGCACTCAAAAACTGGTAGTTCTGAGTTACATTTTGATCAATGGGTGTATTTAACACATATACACAGATGCAATGAAAAGGTCTCCACATTCTAAATAACAGTCACATTCACCAACATTATGCCGTAGAAATAAAAATGGAGAGCTGTCTCACAAGAGCTTTAAACAATTCCAATAAAGAACTGATTAACAGGGGGGTTGAAGCATAGTCTGTGAGCCTTGGTGGAGATACCAAGCAACACCACACTCTGAAGAGAAGCCTGCAGGTAAACACTTGAGAATGAGACACCTAAAACTTAAATGAAATCTGGGGTCTGAATGATCATAAGAAATATTTTCAGTGTCACTCTTTATCAAAGACAATATGAATTATATTAAGATATTTGTGCCTATTATCAAATGGTAAAATGGAAATACTCATACATAAACATTATGAATATAAATCGTTTGGAAAGAGTGATTTAGCAAAATGTATCAAAATCGTTTTTATATGCTCATATCCTCGCTAAACATCTGAGAACAATAAAATGGTCAAATAAATGATGGAACAGGCATGAGAAAATATTAGAAGTAGTTTTTTTAAATATTTAATGACACGGGAAAATGCTCAGAGTAGAATTTTGAATGAAAGGCGAGCACAAAACTATATGCAGTATGATCCCAATTGGGCAAACATAGAAAGAAACAAAGGGTTTCTTCCAGGATGGATGGAAATGCACCCAAATAATGTGAATAGCAAGCTTTCTCTGGGATGGAAGTTTTCTTCTTTGTATAGTATTTCTTCTTTGTACTCTTCACCATCTTCCAAACTTTCTAAATGTGTTTATAATACTTTCCCCCAGTAATAAAGTAATTTTTTAAATTAATTAAAAGAAAACTCAGAGTTGCAGAAAATGGTAAAGAATCTCTATTCTATATCTAGCCATCGGACAGGGGAATCAACAGAACTATGAAGAAAGCCACTTTAGGTTTTTCTTGAGAAAGGGCGATATGAAACATTCAACTCACACTGTGTTTTAAACTAATAGTAGGGACCACAAAACCAATCTCAACAAATACTGAAGAAGAGAAACAGGTAACACTGATGGGGTGCTTGTTATGTACCAGGCCCTGCGCTCAGTGCTCTGTGTGGAGTATGGCACTTAGTCGTCACAGCAGGATTATGAAGTAGGGAGGGCATCATGGTGCTTTTACAGTTGAGAAAATAGGGAGGAGAGAGAGGAAGATGGAATTAGATGGTTATCAGTGTTTTTAGTAATTACATTCCTCTTCTCCTTGACCATTCAGAGCCTTGGTTCTGAAGAGATCAGTGCCCAAAATTCCTCAAGGAGAACTAAAATTTTAGGCTGGAGAAATAGGCAGAATACCATAGTCTAACTAGGCTTATGTGCTATTCAAGGGGCAGGAGTCATACCATTCCGGACTGACAGACAGACATTAAGAGTGTTCAAAGCTCTTGAGAAAGCAGAAAGTTAAGCCTGGTCTATTTATAGAGAATAGTGGCCCAGACTTCAGAAGCTCTAACGTTCTCTCCAAAACACTTCTAGTTCTACCTCTGGCCCTCACCACGGCTTTCTTAACTCCTCACACCACTATAGCCTTACTTACACTAAACTTCTTTTCGCCTCTTCTCTCACATCCCACGGTATTTAATAGTTTGATATGCACAAATTACAAGGTTACCACGGTTTCTAACTTGTCCTAAGTGCTCTTCCACATGTACCTTAAAAACAAAATACTTTATAATGCCAAATTCAAGTTGGATACTTAACAGATTAACCAATGTTGCTGTTAGCTCAAGCAAGGGAATTAAGCCACATCCTGCCGGGGTCCAACAAATCTGAGATATGGCAAACAGACTTTTTAAGACTCAAGTCAGCAAAAAAAGTATAGATCAGAACCTTCTGATGTAACATACATGTCAAAATTAATCCTACCAGCCAGCCCTCCCCAACCCTCGCCTTGCGGTTCTTCTAGGCCCAGAAATTGGGCATCTGAAAGCCACCAGAGAACCCTCAGTTGATACCGGAACTACTCTGTCATTAATCCAGACCAGGGGAGATAAACAAGCACACATATGCTTTTCTGGATTGACAAACAACAAAATTAAGAGGCATCTTTAGTGATTTCTCCTTCCCTTATCAGGTAGGAGAGTTGCACTGTGAAATGTTTCTGAAACAGAATACATTAAGCTAGAAAGGCTTTCCCCTTGATACAGAGCCCAAGCTGCCCAAATAACAAAGCCATGCATGCTATACCTCAGACCCATCTGCATTGAAGTGGTCCAGTGCCTGTTTTCGGATTTCTCCCTTGATGGAACCATCCAGACGCTGTAAAAATAAACCATAAGAAAATCATAAGGTAGGAAAATCAGCTACACTCAAAATAGAACACCAGACTTGTAACCTTCATCACTCCAACACCCACTGAGTAAAAATAACCGGAACACACTGGCAAAGTGCTGTCCAGGGGCTGTGCTCCAGCAGCACACCCAACTTTGCCCCAAGCTCTCCGGTTACAAACTCAAGGTCAGAAGCTTCTGATTCTAAGGGCCATCTAGGTTTATCCAAGGATCAGAATGGCCACCAGGACATAAGGAGAAAGGTGGCAACCCAAGCTGTGCTTAGAGGCTTTGCTTCTACATCTGTGTGTACCAAAGAGATTAGGAAATAGTACCACTGGTCACCTCATAATTAGCTCCTGCAGGAAAATGGTGCTCCTAAGCTACATGGTTAAAAGTTGCCCTGTTATTAAGTGCTCCATAAACCAAAAAATTATTTACATAATTTTGTTTGGAAAACATTTTCCCATAATATTGAAAATGTTAAAATTAAGTGAGTCATATATCCCAGCTTTTCTGAAAATTACACTCTAAAATCAGAGCAAAGTGTTCAAACAGCCAAAATGTATCTTCAAGAGAGTCTCTGGCATTTACTAGCACATACAATTCTTACATTAGACTATATGTCAATTCTAGGTCCAAAACAACGTCACCATAGAGAAACCATATAATATGTAAATACTGAAGAATTCCTACTTGTATGCTATATATAAAGCATTTCTGACTCTTTAAAATCATTCTCACATTACTTCCCCTTAATCACCACTTGAGATAAACTACCTCATTTTACCGAAGGCAAAACTGACCAGGCAGATGTCAGCTGACCAGTGATCAGTGACAGGGGAGGGGTGGAGTCTGTGGAAGGACCTACAGCTCAGCGCTCTGTCCACCAAACCCAGAGCCACCTGATCACAGGTAGAATCACACATGGGAACCCCCTTTCTTCTTTCTGACTACCAACTCTACTGAGAGCCTTGACCCAAAGGTAAGTCTAAATGGCAGGTTCACAACCAGTGTTTGAAATGAGAAAACCCAAATGCCCTCTTTTCAATATTCTAAGAGAAGACATTAGGCATGATAACCTGAGTAGACACCAGACTACTCATTCCCTAGAGAGAAAAGTAACATATTCTTATTTTACTTGATACCCAGATGATGAGCTAGACCTGAAAGCTCCCAGGGGTCAGATGTACTGAGAGATCACGGACTCTCTGTACCGTGTTATTTTTGGTAACAACCACGGTATTTAACTATATTCTAAGACAACTGCTGAAAGACCACACGAAGTATTGTGGATATAACAACGCCTTTCAGGGTATGCTGAAAGAAAACCTGTTACTGAGTTTTAAAGCTTGGCCTTCTTAGAGAGAATCACTGCCTTCAAGTATCTTCAGTATCAGCATAACTGCATGAGTCCATCCAAAATTAAAGAAAAAGTTTATTTAATGCAAGGCAGGGCTTCCCTGGTGGCACAGTTAAGAATCCACCTGCCAACACAGGGGACACGGGTTCGAGCCCTGGTCCAGGAAGATCCCACATGCTGCAGAGCAACTAAGCCCGTGTGCCACAACTACTGAGCCTGCATTCTAGAGCCCACAGCCACAACTACTGAGCCCATGTGCCACAACTACTGAAGCCTGTGCACCTAGAGCCTGTGCTCCGCAATAAGAGAAGCCACTGCAATGAGAGACCTACGCACCGCAACGAAGAGTAGCCCCCGCTCACCGCAACTAGAGAAAGCTCGCGTGCAGCAACAAAGACCCAACACAGCCAAAAATAAAATTAATTAATTTTTTTAAAAAATCAAGGCATTATAAAATTATTAGGCCAAAAGTCAAGGTAAATTGCACACGTCTATAAATAAATCAGAGATAAGTTTCCCATTGTCTAACACGTAGAAAAATATTATGAAGAAACTTTTTCCCCCTTATTTTTCTCATCTTACAAGAGATTAATGAATGAAGACAAAAACCCAAAATTATAATTCTGCAAAGTATATTCAGGGACGAGCAAGGTTTCAAGTATACTGTTCTCCTAAGTTCCCCAGCCTCACGGCCAGGGTCAGCTTCCTTTGGGGTGGAATATAAAACACTGTCACCTCTCTTTTTCTTTCTTTCTTAGGATTTGGGCTTCTGTCATCAGGTTCACACTTCCTTCCTCGCTACTTTTACCACAGGCTCAGAGATGTAAGATACCATCTAACAACACTTCTCTTGCCCAATTTTCCTTTCTCTAATCCCCATCCCTCGCCCACCAAAAAAGAATAATCTCCCATGATCTTGTTCATTACAGGGTAGCCTAAAGGCATGGAAGTAAAAATTAAGACCCGCCTGGAACCTTAATCTCAATTTGTTTGAAACAAGAAAACTCTTGTTTTCTCCTTTAGGATAATTTAGCAAGCAAAGCATACAACCTAGAGGGAGGGAGGGAGGAAAGGAGGAAGGGAGAGACCCCAAGTACCAAGCATCCTCACCTGGAAAGGATAGTGCTTAATAGTCAGGTACTCAGCCAGGATATCCAACATTCTCACCATCTGAGAGAAGATAAGGACTCTGTTCCCTCTTTCTCGAAGTCTTGTCAACAGTTTATCTAATAGAATCAGCTTCCCACTGCTCCTGATCAAGGACTGAAGATTGAAAAGACATTCTAATCATCATGTTCAAAAGCATACTTCAATCTGCCCTTCCTCTCTAATAAGAGTTCATATTTTTAAAATCATCTTTAAGCTTTTGGAAGACTTCTGCAATCTAGCTGACAAGCAATTCCTAAAATGCTCTTTACCTAGTATCTGTGACAATATACTTTCCAGATTTTTCCTAGCTATTTGACCTTTCTCACCTGTTTTTAAAGCTTCTTTTGATGCTCCTTGAAATTACCAAGGAGGAAAAGGAGCATTTTGATAAAAAGCATCTATAGAAACTAAAGTGTCTTTAAGAAAGCAATTACAAACAAGGTAAGCACACACCAGAAGAATCTCCTGTCCATTTTCCCTTTCGTTTTCTTCAGGAGGTTTAATGAGATAACAGTGGTTGCAGCACTTTTTCAGTTCCATCACAATATTAAGGAAACCAGATGTGCTGCCTCTTGTTCCTTTGGCAAGAGCCTTGTAATTTCTAGTCAGAATCCATCTGCAAATTAAGATAATAATGATATTATTAGATTCAAAGAAAGAGAGTTGGGGATACCAGCAGATTATAAAAGGAAATAGTGTTACTGAGGGTGGGAGGCGGCGGGGGGTGGGGGCGTTAAAAAGGCAGGGAGGGATGCTTTATTTTATATCTCCTGCCACCTAACCAGGAACCCTCACACATCTCCAGTCAGATTCAGACCATTAATCATTCTATTGGCTATTTCAACCTGGATGAACACAGGAATATTAAAAGAAAATAATAGCAACAAAATATATATATTCATAGAACATATATTACATATATGTATTTTATATAAACAATGACTGTCACTGAAGCAGTCTTTATTGTAGTATAAAAGTGGAAATTAAGCTGTCTCAAATTAGAAAATCAGTTAAATAAATTAGATATACCAAAGATAGAAGCTACAGGGACTTCCCTGGTGGTCCAGCAGTTAAGACTCCACGCTCCCAATGCAGGCGGGCTGGGTTCCACCCCTGGTGAGGGAACTAGATCTTGCATGCCTCAACTAAGAGCCTGCGTGCCACATCTAAAAGATCCCACATGCCGCAACTAAGAGCCGGCACAGCCAAATAAATACGTAAATAAATGTTTAAAAAAAAAAAGAAGATAGAAGCTACATATCCATTTAAACTGTTGTAAAAGGGTATTTTACATAATACAGTGTTCATAACGAGTATGTTTTATATCCCAGTTTGAAAATATTAGAACTGCTTTTTTTCTGAGTAGTGAAATTTCTTCACACTTTTAGCAATCACACTTTTAGGAATCCATCTCAAAGAGGAATTCTCAAGGATTCTCACCGTAGCACTATTTATAAAAGTATTTGAAACTATCCAAATGTCCATCACTAGGAGACTAGTTGAATAAACTATGCTACAGATCCACTATTTAGTTGTAAAAAGAAAGGACTGTCTCTATAAACTACTATGGAGTGCTCTCCAGCACAGCCGATTCCCATCACTAAGTGAAAAAAGTAAGGTATAGAAAAATGCATACAGCATGCTACCACTTGCAGAAGGAGGCAATAAGAAAAGTTAACATCTGCTTATATTTTAAAAATTAACAAATAAAGGAAAGATAAACATTAAGATTTTTAAATATAAAAGTAATTATTACCTAAGGAAAAGAGGGACTAGAATGGGGGAGAAAAGGATAGAAGCCAGATATCTCTGAACATACCAGGCATGGCAGTTTTGCCTTCAGAACTCTATAAATATTATAAATAATCATGAACAAAATTAAACAAACCAATCTCTAAAAAAAAAAAAAAAAAAACCGCTAAAATGAAGTAAATAAACTATTGTATCTAGTCAGTACCTAACCAAAGAGAAGAAAAACCATCTCAAGTGCTTTAAGCCTCTTACCATTTCTAGTGGGATATACCTTTAAAAACAAACAAAAAAATACTATTTTAAAAAACCTTAACCTGTTTTTGTTCTTCATCTTGCTAGTGGTAATCCTGGCACCATTATTTTAAGACTGTGTGTGTAGTGTGAATTAGGCTGGTGCACTTGAGAAGTCGAATTTTTGGCATGGGTATAAGTTCATTAAGGTCAAATAAAATTTCTGTAGTACTATTTAACTGGACAAAACTCATGATGTATTTTTATCTTTAAAAACAAACAAATTTCCTAACTCTGTCCACTTTAAAGACCAGTGAATAATGTCCACTGCAGTTGCAAAGAGCACCCCCAGTGCCATCTGTGACCTCCAAATATCATTTTCCAATGAAACAGGATGTGAAGCTTTTTGGCTGACTCTAGTTCTGGGGCAGGAAATGAACCAGACGAATCTGAGCATTTTATCATTCCAGAAAGCAAAGCTATCAACTACAACTTGGATTTTGTCAAAAGAACTTGAACAAGCTCCCACTGGCTAAAACTGGGACCATTAGACCATGAGTATAGATAATAACTGCAACAGAATAAAACAGAAATAAATATGTTTATTGATGAATCAATAATCATACAAAAATATTGAAATCGTACCAATAAGTCTCATTGGTCAAACCTTTGAAGGAAGATAGATAATCCATTTTTTCTTTTGAAAACGTCAAAAATTCAACATGGATGAACCTTGAACACACTATGTTGTGTAAGATAAGTCAGACAGAGATAGACAAGTAACGTATGATATCATGTATATGTGGAATCTAAAACAGCCAAACTGAAAGTAAAATAGTGGTTACCAGGGGGCGGGGAGTGGGGGATAGGACAAATGTTTAAGGGTACAAACCTGGAATGGGTAGTAAATAATCCCTAGAGATCTAATGCACAGTACAGTGAATACAGACAACAACAATGTATTATATAATCATCAACCTTGCTAAGAGACTAGATTTAACAATCCCAACCACTAAAAAGAAGGGATCATCATGTAATGTGATAGAGGGGCTAATTATCACAATGGCCATCAGATTAAAATATATGAATGCATCAGATTAACATGCTACACACCTTAAACTGTACAACATTATATGTCAAATGTACAGTCAGCCATCCGCATCCACAGGTTCCACACCTGCAAATACAGAGAGCCAACTATACTTTGCCATTTTATGTAAGGAACTTAAGGATCCATAGATTTTGGTATCCGAGCGGAGGGCCAGGGGGCTCCCTGGAACCAAACCCCTGTAGTTACCAAGGGACAACTGTATTTCAATTTAAAAAAACAGTAAATAGATGAAAAATTTTAAATTCGAAAATCAGAAAGAACCATGCATTTATTCTGTCTTTCCTATATGAACTGTTCCTCATTGATGTGGGGAAGTTTCTTTTTACAGAAGTATTCCACCTAATAAACAAAGGAGTAACAAAAGTTGAATATTACCACTTTGTAATCCCTAATGAATTAATGATCTAGGCAATGCTCATCAACATTTGCTAATATCACAAGAAGACAACCTCCTATGATAGACTGCATTCTGTGAAATACACGGATTCTGGGTCTAACCAACCTTCTACACTTATCTGTGAATGTAAAGGAAACAATGTGTTCTCAGGAAAATATTAAATGATGCCATGGAGCTGGAATGAGCAAAATCCAGGCTGTGAAAAAAATTTATGGAACACAAACCCAGTTTCTTCACTCAAAAATTTAGAAGGACAGAGGGGAAAATGACTTAAAATAAACTTAAGAGATACGTCAACCAATCATCATGTATGGAGCTTACTTAGATCCCAATGCAAACAAGCAAAATGTGTGTGTGTGTGTGTGTGTGTGTGTGTGTGTGTGTGTGTGTCTAGGACAACCAGGAAAACGTAAACACTCACTGTACATTATAAAAATAGTAAGGAATTACGGGGGGGGGGGTTTAGGCATAATAAAAATAGCATTGAAATTATGCTTAACTTTTTTTAATTGAGGTATAGAACGTCATATTCGTTTCAGATGCATAAAACATGATGAGATATTTGTATTCATTGCAGAATGATCACCACAATGTCTAGTTACCATCCATCACCATAAATAGCTACAACTTTTTTTCCCTTGTGATGAGGACTTTTATGATCTACTCTCTTGCATATTTCAAAAAAAAATGCACTTCAGAATTATTAATTATTGTCACCATGCTGTACATTTCATCCCCGTGACATACATTTCATAGCTGAAGTCTGTAACCTTTTGACTCCCTTCACCCATTTCTCTCACCATCCTCAACACCTGGCTCTGGCAACCACCAATCTGCTCCATGAGCTTGGGGGGTTTTGGGGTTTTTTTTACTTAACTCTTAAGAGTCCTTATTTTTTAGAGATATACAGAAACACTTATGATTTGGACCTGGAATATGTTTCGTATGACCTGGGGGTGGAAATGGGGATGCAAAAGAAGATACAGATGAACTAAGACTGGCCAGGAGTCAGTAAATATAAAAGCTGGATTATGGATACACACCATTCTATTTTTGTATGTATTTGAGATTTCGCACAATAAAAAGATTTTTAAAAATCAAGGCAGAAATAGTTAATCAAGTCCAGGAAGCACAGAGAGTGCCATACAGGATAAATCCAAGGAGAAATATGCCAAGACACATATTAAACTGTCAAAAATTAAATAAAAGAAAACATATTAAAAGCAGCAAGGGAAAAACAACAAATAACACACAAGGGAATCCCCATAAGGTTAACAGCTGATCTTTCAGCAGGAACTCTGCAAGCCAGAAGGGACTGGCAGGACATATTTAAAGTGATGAAGGAGAAAAACCTGCAACCAAGATTACTCTACCCAGCAAGGATCTCATTCAGATTTGATGGAGAAATTAAAACCTTTACAGACAAGCAAAGGCTGAGACAGTTCAGCACCACCAAAGCAGCTTTACAACAAATGCTAAAGGAACTTCTCTGGGCAAGAAACACAAGAGAAGGAAACGACCTACAATAACAAACCCAAAACAATTAAGAAAATGGGAATAGGAACATAAATATCGATAATTACCTTAAATGTAAATGGACTAAATGCTCCCACCAAAAGACACAGATTGGCTGAATAGATTCAAAAAGAAGACCCATATATATGCTGTCTACAAGAGACCCACTTCAGACCTAGAAACACATACAGACTGAAAGTAAGGGGATGGAAAAAGATATTCCATGCAAATGGAAACCAAAAGAAAGCTGGAGTAGCAATTCTCGTATCAGACAAAATAGACTTTAAAATAAAGAATATTACAAGAGCAAAGAAGGACACTACATAATGATCAAGGGATCGATCAAAGAAGAAAATATAACAACTGTAAATATTTATGCACCCAACATAGGAGCACCTCAATACATAAGACAAATACTAACAGCCATAAAAGGGGAAATCGACAGTAACACATTCATAGTAGGGGACTTTAACACCCCACTTTCACCAATGGACAGCTCATCCAAAATGAAAATAAATAAGGAAACACAAGCTTTAAATGATACATTAAACAAGATGGACTTAGTTGATATTTATAGGACATTCCATCCAAAAACAACAGAATACACATT